GCCTTTTTCTTTGATCTGATTTTCTGCAAAATATTGGCTCAATATATTTTCAATATGTATAATTAATGGTTTATTTGATGTACTTCGAGTAATCATTTGTCTGCCATAAAAACGTAAGCAATAACTTAATAACAACTCAATGGTAGAAACTATGATTTGCTGGCTATGTATATCAATGTTTTCTTGTAGTTCTATCTGGATTTTTTGAACCGTGTCCCATAATATATTTTTCTCTTTATCAGACAGATGCAATGCTTCGGATACATCATAATTAAAAAAATTATAGTCTTTCATTTTATCATAAAGCGTAGTAGAACGAATTAAATCTGGATGAAAAAATAAACCCCAACCCATTTTATCTTCTCTTTCTTCCACTTCATTTTCTATTTCTATTACTTGATTGGGAGCAATACAAATGAGATTACCCTCTTGGAAATCAATGCTTTTTCTTCCGTATTTGAAATGATTTTTACAATAGTTTTTATACATTACCGTATAAAAATCGGTGGTAATTTTAGTGTTTTCTTGCAGGGATTCTTTGACATGACTAAAATCTAAAACCGCCACCAATGGATGTGCACTTTTACCTAAATTAAAAAGTGTGTACAAATCTGAAATACTATGTAAATGAATCATTTATAATCAATATTAAAAAGTAGTAGCCTGCAAAGAATGGTAATAAACAACTAACCGCTGATGAAGCAATGCATCAATACAAAACAATGCAACAAAGCAAAATACCGCTCCTAGAGATAAACCTTTCAGAAAATCACTTCCTGCCAAGAAATAAAAGACAATGGAAAGTGAAGCCAAGCAAAGCCAAAATAGTTTAATTTTTTTGTAGCCTTTTTGGTCTTTTTCTGCTTTTAAGATTTCTTTTTCGAATGTTTTTTGTAAGTTTATTTTACTTTCTAGTCGCACACGTTCTAGGTGTTTTCCTCTTGCCGTCCATTGATAACTTCCATACCCAATCATTGCTAAACATAATAACAAAACAGGCATCAAAAAACCTTTATAAAACGCTTGTTGAAAATTGGCCCATTTTAGTATAAAAGCAATAATCACAACGGCACTAATAACCATAATTTTTCCTTGTGTAATTTCTCCTTTTACCCATTGCGAAGTATAATGTATCCAGTTTGTCATTTGGTTTGATTTAATTTTTTTAATAATTCTGTAGCGGCTAAAACACCAAAATTATTGGCTGCCTTTGGACTTGCACCTGTAATTAAATTTCTATCTTTAAAGCACGTTTTGTCGGCTTTTGTATTCACAATTTCAACGCCTAATTTTTGTAGTTTTTCTCCAAAAATCCAAGGCATATGTCCTGGCATATACCCAAAAATTGGTGTAAGTCTGTCGGTTTTATCAGGAAATGCGGCAATTTTGTATCCTCTATAAATAAATGAATGAGAACTATCTGAAATTGAAGCAGCGAGTAAAGCAGCTGGACCGTGGCAAATACTCAACATCATTAATTCGTTTTTTTCAGACCAAAGAATAAGCTGTTCTACATCTTTATTGTTTGGCAGTCCCAACATTGCACCATGTCCTCCAGGAATAAAAACAGCAACATACTCTTTTGAGGCTTCCATCTCTTTATTCACAAAATCAGCTAGATTTTTAGGGCTTTCAAAGAAAGATTTATATTTTTCAAAAATTAATTTTACCTCTTCATCTTTTTTTGGAAAAGCCCACATTTCAATTTTTACAGATTTTCCTGTGGGTGTATAAATGTCAATATCAAAACCTGCATTTTGTAAATGAAGCATTGGCAAAAGCATTTCTACAGGATGGTTTCCTGTAGAAAAATACTTACCATTTGCCATTTTCATATTTCGTTCTTCTGTACAAACCATAAGTATTTTTCGATTGGGAAGCTTATTTGGATTAGAAAAGTTGATTTTTTTGTAATCCGTTTTTGATGATGTTGCCATCATAAGTGCTAATTTTGAAGGACTATACGCACCATCATTTGTAGGTGTAGGATATATGCCTAAAAGTTTAGATAAAATACTCATAATTTGGATTTTAAAAGAATGAAAAAATTAAATTTGAGTCCATTTTACAATGGCAGGTTGCGTTTCTAGCAGATTTGGCATTTGTGCTACTGCTTCTTGTACATGTGGTGTTTGCCAATGAAGTGCCTCAGCTTCTGCATTTTCCCACACTTCATACGATGAGAATTCGAGTTCATTTTCAATGCTTTGAAGATAGTAATAAGCCACACATCCTGCTTCTTTAGCATTGGTTTGTTCGGTCAAATGTTTCATCAAGGCAATTGCTTCGGTAAGTTTGTCTGCTTTGATTTTAAAACTTGCTGTTACATAAATTTGTTTACTCATTTTTATAAATTTTGTGATTGATTATATATTTTTTTAAAGACCAAATTGCGATTTTATACCTCCAATAAAGGTTTCGTCATCATATTCTTTACGATTGGTTAGCAATTGTTTTGCATCTTCACCTGCGGTATATCTTAATTTATTTTTTCCATCGGTTGCAGCTTCAAATATTACATCAGCCACCACACTTGAAGGTGAAGCATTTTGAGACATCACAGGCATAACATTTAGTAAAGCTCCCACAATATTTTGATATTCTATCAGGTTTTCATCATTTGTAAAATCAAAAGATCTGCCTGCAAAATCAGTTGCAATCATACCAGGTTCTATAATTTTTACTTTACCTCCAAATTGTTCTACTTCATAATGTAATGATTCTGAAATGCCTTCAACCGCAAATTTAGTACCATGATATAATGTGCCTAAAGGAAAGGTAACTTTTCCACCAATGGATGAAATATTGATGATAATTCCTTTTTTATGTTCTCTAAAATGAGGAAGAATAGCTTTTGTAACATCTAAAAGTCCAATTACATTGGTATTGAATTGTCGTACAATTTTTTCTCGACTAAATGCTTCCAAAGGACCGTAAGCTCCATAACCTGCATTGTTTAGCAAAACATCAATGCCTCCAAATTTTTGAATTCCTTCTTGAATGGCATTTTGAATAGAACTCAAATCTAACACATCAAGTTGGGCAACTAAAACATTGTCTAATTGATTAAGTTCCTTTTCGTTTTCAGGATTTCGCATGGTAGCAATTACATTCCAACCCTTAGAGTGAAATAATTTTGTAGTTTCTTTTCCTATGCCACTGCTTGCACCTGTAATTAATATTGTCTTATTCATTTTTTATGATTTTAAAATTATGATGCAAAATTCAGAAGAAACCTTCTTTGCAAGATAATACAAATTCAGGGAGTTTGTATTCTTTTTACGGATTGTCGGTCTAAGCTTCTAACTAACGTTTTCATAAATTATTAAATATCATGTAGTTGTGAAATTAAAATCTTCTGCTGAAAATTGATAATTTTCCACCTGTTTTTGTAATCTTTTCTGTACTGCCATTTTTCTTTTTTGGTCCAAATATAAATAATTTCCTGG